GAGGAGGGGGGTGAGGAGGGGGAGGAGGAGGAGGCGGAGGAGGAGGAGGAGGAGGCGGAGGAGGAGGAGGAGGAGGAGGAGGAGGAGGAGGAGGAGGAGGTTAGTGCAAACCCAAGACGCAGCAACGATATTGCAATCACCCCCCTTCCACGTTCCCTCTTCATAGGCCCCGTCAAGATCCATTCTCACTGAGGGAAGTGCCCCGTTGACAAAAACCTGAACTGTGCCAGAATTGGGGGACTTCAGCTCCGCGAGCCACCGTTACTGGTGCATCTTGACGATCTGGATTCGTCCCAGATTACGACTCCTGGGACTCAAACACCACGAATCAATATAACTGTCGTGCCATGACAGTCCCACACTGTGCTCAAACACCCTATTTGGGACGTTAATCGAGAGAGTCCTTGAAACTGGTGTACAATTCTGGAACGAATGTACTCGGCGCTCAGGCGAGAGCCACATTTTAAACTGGAACCGCCCACCATCCGTGAAGCTCTTGGAAGTTTTTAGGACGAATGTGCGCGGCGCTGGAGCTAGAGGAACCACTTTTTGCAAACCACCTGTTCTCCATCCGTGGAACCTTTGAACATTTTTAAGTCGGATGTGCGCGGCGCGGAGGCGAGATCCACATTTAGAAAACGACTCGCACTCCATGTGTGCAACTCTTGCGCCATTTGTTAAGACGAAGGTGCGTGGCGATAACGCAAGGGTCACATTTTGAAAACTGTTGCAAACTGTGAGTTTCGGGATTGTAAATGGTGAGGACGTCTCAGGCGGAACGCCCAGCCCGCCCTTTCGACCGGCCTCAGGGTGCGACAGGGACGAGCTATTCATAAGGAAAGGGATGGAGGATGAGGGGGAATGACTGGAAATCGCTGGGGTAGGAGGAGGAGGAGGGCGAGCAGAAAGACTAGAGGCCTCTAGGAGGCCTCTTGGGGCGTCTTGGAGGTCTCTGGGGGTTCTAGGGACCTCTGGGGCCTCTTGGGTGCCTCTGGGGGGCCTCTTGGGGCGTCTTGAGGTCTTTTGAAGCCTCTTGTGGGCATCTTGGGGGCTTATTTGGGGCCTCTTGGCACCTCCTGGCCACCTCTTGGGGCCACCTTGGGGCACCATTGGGAGCCTCGGGGGCCATAATGGGCTCATTTAGGAGGAGATCGATCGATCAATTGAGGGGAGCTCCTTAATTTCGCCCCACCCCCCCAGGAGGCCAACATGAGGCCCAAAACCTGAGTAACATTCATGATTTTGGCTTCCTCGCCGAGGCCATCTTGGACGCTCCACCCCCTCGCGGAACGCCCCCTCTAGATCCAGGGAGAGGGTGTATGGGGAGGGGTCAAAACACCCTCCCCGCCCGCAAGCCGTCTCGCTCGCTCCCACCCGCCCTCCCAACAGATAAGTAGCACCCGAACCGCAGCGTGTTAGGCGGTAGTCTTTGGATGGGCAGCTAATGGGAACCCCATGTGCGCAATGCTGGGGCGAGGTGCGCCAGGCATCCCTGTGGCCGAAGCGTGCCGGGCAGGCCTGGTGCGCCAGATGCGCCACGTGATCCACGTGCGCCATGTGTGCTGCATGCGCCAGCCGCGACATGTGCGCCGCGTTCGGGGCACGCGCAGAGTGTGCCAGGTGCGCCTGCGCACGTGGCAGCACACATCGGGAAACGTGTCGGCCCCCACCACCCTTGTCGAAAACCAGTTCGCAATCGCGGCGGGGTGGCCATCATAGATCATAGACGCACATAGCAGGTAATATGCCAGCACCCCCGTCCACGTCCCAGCACCGCTCCCCGAAGGGGAAGAGGGAAGATAAGAGGAAACGCTCTAAACCACTCACGCCCAAAGGACTGGTCGGATTATCCCTGTTGCCCTCTTTGCCTGCCTCTTCCGCTCCCGTTCCAGCTCCTCTTCCTTCTGTTTTCCTGTCGCCTTCCTCGTCCATCACTTCCACTCGTCCTCCCGCGTCTGCCGCTGCTGCGTGCACCTGCTTTATTCCCTTCTGGCTCTGACCTGCGTCCCAGAGTAGGAGGAGAAGGAGGAGTTGGAGTAGGAGTAGGAGGAGCGGCAGGAGGAGCGGCGGCAGGAGGATGAGAGGATAGGAGGATGTAGGATGAGGAGGAGGAGGAGCAGGATGAGGATAGGAAGAGGATGATGATTATGATGAGGAGGAGGAGGGGGAGGAGGAGGAGGAGGAGGAGGAGGACCTGAAGGAGTAGGCTGTTGGTGAGGAGGAGGATGATGGGGGAGGAGGAGGAGAGCAGGCTGCCCTTCGAGCCCCCTGTGCCTCTCGGCCACGGCGGTGCCGGTCGCAGGCCGTCCCGGTGTTCGAGGGCTTCGCGATACCACACGCGATCTTCAAGACACCCAGCCGCCTGCCCGCCAGCTGGCCCGCGAGCAGAGCGCGGCGGGGGCTGCGCTGGCTTGAGGAGGTGGAGGTCGACGATGATGATGACGACGACGACGAGGACGATGACGACGGCGGCTGCGACGACGACGACGACGACGGCGGCGGCGGTGACGACGACGACGACGATGACGACGATGACGACGACGACGACGACGAGGGCGCCGACGAGGGCGCCGACGACGACGACGACCTCCTCGACGCCAACGACGATGAGGACGACGACGACAAGGACGACGACGACGACCAGGACAACGACGACGACGACGACGACGCCGACGCCGACGACGACGAGGACGACGCCGACGACGACAACTACTACTACGACGACAAGTCGACGACGACGTCGACGAGCACGACGGCGACGAGGAGGAGGACGACGACGACGACGACGGCCACGACGACGACGACGACGACGACATCGACGACGACGACGATGAGTACGAGGACGACGACGACGACGAGCACGACGATGATGATCTTGACGACGACGACGACGAGGACTTCGACGACGATGACGACGACGGCGACGACGACGACGACCACGAGGGAGGGATTTCAGGATTCTTCTCGCTTCGCGGGGTGCACGTCCGTTGCACGTGCAGTCCAGTCGTTCCAGGGTCTGGTGGGAGCCTCTTTGGGGCTTCTTGGGGCTTCTTGGGTGCTTCTTGGGGCCTCTTGGGGGCTTTTGTGGGGCCTCTCGGGGATCTCCTGGGGGCGTCGTGGGCCGTGTTGTGGCGCTCTTGCGCCGTTTGGTCCCTTCCGAGTCCATCCTGTTGGGCCCTCGCGGCCGCCTTGGGGGCCTCTTGGACCGTCTCGGGGGCCTCTTGGACCGTCTTGGGGGCCTCTTTGGGCCTTATTGGGGCCCTCTTTTGCCGCATTGGGGTCCTCTTGAGGGCTTCTTGGGCCGCCTTGGGATCATTTTGAAGGCTGCTTGTGTGAAAGGAACCCGTCTTATATCCTCATCTCTACTCCTCACTCGCCCTTTTGCCTGCACTATCGGCTCAGGTACTGGAAGCGACCAGGATGCTTGTCGCACAGGAGGAAACGATCCTTATCTTTCCCTCATTCCTCTACCTACGGACCAGGGGTTCTGTGCCTGTGTGCTCTCACCCCATACACAGGTTATCAGCCCTTAAAGCTCACCGTTCACCGAACCCTGCGTCGAGATCTCGCCCGCGGCCCCGATGGATCCCCCGCGGCGCATGCGCCGTAAGGGATCCTTCGCGGCTCCGCGTCCGAGCTCTCCGACGGCGCGTGGGCTCGGTGATGCTATGGAGAGCCTTGGAGGTGGCCGCGTGGGTGTCCCAGATACCCCCCCCCAGCTCCGACGGACCCGAGGCGCGTCTTGCGGCTGATCTTCGCCGCCGCGCCGCCCACGGGGGGACAGGAGAAGGAGTGGGAAGTCGGGAGCAATCCCTACTGCGTCGGGTGCAAGTCCCACTGGCCCCGATACTCCTGGGCGCTTCCGCGCATCCCGCCGTTGGAACAGTGGCGGTGGCCCAGCCAGCCCTGCCACCGTCCCCGCGTCGGCGCACGTGGCAGCGTTCGAGGAGCTCGGCAGACCAGTGGCGGCGCAGCCGCAGACGCAGCGTCCCAAGGTATCATCGTCTCATCCGACACCGCGCGCACGGCCCTAGCCGCAGCTCGTCCATGCGCAACCGTCGTGAGGCCGCAGGCCCCGACGACGAGAACAGGTCGAGTCCGCGTGCGGCCTCTCAGAGGCCACGCGCTCCTCGCGAGAGGGTGCCTCAGGGGGCAGACGCCCCCCACCTTTTTCTCAGACGGCCTGCCGGCGGCTGCGCCCGCTGCAGGTGAACTCGCTGAGCTGCGAGACCAGGTTGAATACTTCGTGTCCAGGCAGTACTCTGGACTGGTGCAGAGCGTTCAGGCGAACGCCGCGCACGCTGCTGCTCTTCGGCAAGAATTCGACGGCGCCTTAGCGATCATCGATCCGAGGATCGCCGAATATCGCCGAATCATAGGAGAGCTGCAGTGTCAGGTTGATGTTACACTCAGGTGATCGGTCCGCGACGGTCGAACACCTGCGCAACTACCTGGCGCAGATGGAGCAGCAGCTTGTCGTTGTCCGCGACGCAGGCGTTTCCGCGGTCAGGATCTTGCATGACGAGATTCATGATCAGCTGCGCAATCGACCCCCTCCGACCGAGGCGCGCGACCTCGGTGACCTTTCAGTTCCAGGTCATCGATCTTCGATCACATGTGGAACAATATGCGGCTGCGCTTCGTGCTGAAGCAAGTGCCAACTCTTCGACCTTGCTCGGAGTGTTTCAGAATACTGAAAGAATCCTCGCTCAACGGCTTGATGCGACCACCGCTGTCGTGCAGCCCCTCACTGGCCCGATCTCTGTGATCGAGCAGCGTTTACCTGGAGTACAGGACGCCCTGGTAGAGTTGCGTGTTGGACGAGCCCAGACTGGCCAGCTGGGATCCCCTCCTACGGTTTACGATCTCGCCCCCTTCGCTGACAGGTTGCAGGAAGTTAGGGCGGCGGCGGACCACGCGCAGTCTGGGCTCCCCCAGGCCCTTCGGGGCAGAGGTGCTGACAACGTACGTGTTGAGGAGTGTCTCACACGTCTGGAAAGTGAAATGGAGGCGCGCGACGTCCGTCCCCGAGCTTGCGAGCAGAGACTTGGTCGGTATTCCCAGCGCTCTCGGGGCACTGACGAGGAGATCGCTTCGTCGAAGCACGATCTGCGCTCTGCACGCCAACAAGTTGACCAAATACACGAGGACATGACGAACAGGACGTCTCTACTCATCGACCACACCAGCGACGCTACACCTCGCAATCAGCCATCGCCGGGCCTCGACAGGCCGACGGCGACGTCCGCTGAAGCACCGCGCGCTTCTGTCAGACAACCAAGACGTACGTCACCAGGAGCAGCCTCAGCGGCAGCCTCTGCACAGACACGCCGCGTGTCTCCAGCGCGCGCAGACCCAACTAATGACGGCGTACCGTTACCCTCGCAGCCATTGTCTGCAGTTTTGGTTAACACTACCACTCCTATCAAGGAGTCTGACACCGTGCGGGCCCCTGTCTTGCCCGAGATCACTCAGCTGCTCGAGTGGCAGCAAAAGGTTCGGAAGAGCTTCGGTGCCGCTTCGGGGCGCCCCTCTAAGGCATGCGCCTTCTTCTGCGTCGCCGAACAACCTGAGTGTATGTTTGAAGACTTACAAGACAGCGGTGCTTTTGAGCATCGGCTGGAAGCTCGCAACTGCTCTCAGTGACATCTGGTCCTCTGACTTGCGCTTCAAGATCAAGCTCATCGAGGCCAAGGAACATAAGGCTGGACGTTTGTTGAAAGGTCGCCAGATCTATGGGCACATTCTACAGTCCTACAAGGCGACCGAGGTTGACGATGACCTTCACGATTTTGAGCGCCTCAAGGAGTTGAGGATGAGAGACGAAGATCAGCGGCGATTCAGTACTGAATGGGGCGCTCTATTGTTGGATTGCCGAGAGGCACCCGACCCCAAGATCCTCGAATCTCTGTTCCGGACTCAGATTCGCAGGCGCGCTTGGATGAAACAGGATATGTATGAATATCAGAGAATGAAGATAAGCGGTCCTCATCGTACCCACGACTGGTTTCGTCAACGAGTTCTCGATGTTCTGGAAATGAAGCAACTCGAGAAGAACCAGAACAAGCTACGGTACAAGTATGAGATTCGTTCTCAGGTGAACATCCGCGCCGCATGGAACAACGGTACCTGTCGGAATGGTGATCGTTCCGAGGCTTTGTACATGCTCCAGGGAAAGCAGAGACGGACGATCTTCCCGTCCTTCGCACGCCGGCGGCCGCGCCCGCCGCAGCGTGTCGGCCCCTGCGAGTTCCAAAAACAAGCCAAGCGCGAAGCCCTTCTGCTTCGAATTCGCCAAGCGCAGTTCCTGCGCGCGTGGTGATAAGTGCAACTTCCCGCACATGGCGCGGTGCAGTTACTTCGTCCAGAATAGGTGCCACAAGGGTGACGCATGCAAATGTGCCCACCTTGCTGCTGGTACGAAGACACCTGAAAGGAGCCCCAGCCGTCCGCGGAATCCCAGTCAGGACAGCCGCGGCCGACCACCTTCCCGCAGATCTGGGAGCAGACGCTCTCCGCAGCGCGGGGGGGTTCGGAGCGCGGGGGGCTCGCGTAGCCGACGTGGCCACAAACGCCAACGCGACCGCTCTCGATCACCCCCCCGGAGATTCGCAGACTCTCGAAGCCCGTCGAGAGGCCGATGCGATAGATCATCATGATCACCCCCCCGAGGCAGAGACGGACGTGGCGGAGGGCGTGGCAGTCCACGTGGCCGCGACAGATCATCCGGCAGCGATAGAGGACGTGACCGACGCTCCATGAGCCGCAGTTCGTCTCGTGGCTCTCCTAAGTATCGCGCGCGTTCTCCAGCTATTGGTCGCGGCCCGCGCCGCTGCGACCGCAGTTGCGTCATCCGAGACAAGACCCTCGTGGCCGTGCACAAGGCCAATAATGCATGTACCATGCCGCGACGTCGGATACGTCTCGACGCAGACAACGTGGAGTACTTCCCGCACCGTCTCCGGCAAGGCCACTCTCGACATGTGGTTCGACAAGCCGAACGAAGGCGACATTGTCAACGTGCCAGATCCGCTTCCACAGTGGTGGTGGAACCAGAGTGCTCACGCTCTTCAATGTTGCCAACGGGAAGCTCAATTATGGTACAAGGACCTGCAGGACTACCGACACGCGCAAGTGTCGGTGGCAACGCCCACTGCGATTCCAGGATCACTCGACTTCACTACGGAGTCGCCTGAGGCGATCCGGGAGTCGGTGGCGACACCTACTGTCGACCCTCCACGATCGACAGCCGCCCTGACGCGCTCCTGGGTTCTCGACAGTGATTTTGCGCATCACATCCAGGACAAGAATGAGCTTGCGCAGACCGCATCTGATGGCATTTCTATCCG